CGCTGATGATCCGCTTGAAACCGTACAACGCGCCCGCCATCTGTCCAACGATCGCCCCGACTGTGTCGGCGTCGCCCAGCAAATTCACCGCGTTCAGCAGCGCGTGGGCGAAGCTGTTCGAGTTCCACAGAGCCCAGAGTGCCATTGCAAGGCCATCCATACAGTAGGCGCCTGGGCTTTTCAGTGGTTTTCAAACCCATATGCCCCCAAAGGGGGCAATGACTCATCCTTCTCCGTGAGTTGATTCAGAGCCCCAAACAGGGCCAAACTCTTTGGCGTTGGCATCCCGAACAACACACATCGGATCAAGAAGAAAGCGTCTGGCTGGGATCTACAACAGCCTGGGCGTGTCTACTGGCGTGTGAGTGTGGTCAATTAGGAATGTATAAATAAGCATCTCGTAAAATCAAAACCAACATCTTTTCAAACCAGCAAATCACCAAGGCGCCAAAATAGCCGGGAGTAGTGGGATGTCCATTGTAAAGGTCGTTCCCTGATGGTCCCCGTCGCGCAGCGATACCTTCATTGATGGCCAGATTCTTCGCCTTCCAATTCCAATGTGCCTCCTTTTTGGAGGGCGGAGAGCTCATCAAGAGCTTTTTGAGACGCTGCAGGTTGGCCCCGCCATCATCCAACCCTGGTGGTAAGCGGAAATTCTCACTGTCCTTCAAGAAGCGCTCGATGTGTTGTGCCATGAAGCTACGGGTCTCCCCAATGGGGTCCAGCACGGCCAGCTCGGAATCCGAGACTTTGCCCGCATTCCGGTGGCGGCTGATGGCCTCGACACAGAAGGAGGCCATGAAACGACAGCACAGGGCTGCTTCAGGACCCGGATGAGTGGCTAAGGACTGCCAAGCTGCAACATCCAACGCCTGATCTGCAGGATATCAAGTTTCCAACTGGGAGCCAGAAAAGGGGGGGAAAAAAAAGACATGAAAGAACCTGAACGATCTTAGTATATCTACATTATATAATATATATATATTTATCTTAAAGATTCTTAAAGAATCTTAATCCCACAAAGGTTTTGGAGGTTTGTTGTCTTGTGACTGTGCCGAGCGGCCTGTGCTGGGCATAAATGATATGCAATTGGCACGGGCGCCAAACGCATGATGGACCCATTGCCCGCATCATTGGAGTCCTGGGAGGTTTGCTTCAACAGACCAAAACACAACCCAGTACAAAACACAAATAGAATTTCTTAAAGGTCCCCACAAAACAGAACACCTTCAGTCCTTTTGTTCCCCAAACGCGGAACGCGTTTTTCCTCTTTTTGTGGGGGAAAGGGGAGTTGTCCACGACGTCTTCACCAAGCGCTACCTCCGAGCATCTGACTGGTGCACGGGTGGGACGACTGTAGCATGACTCGTGCCCTTTGGGAGGCGATCTTGTGCGTGTGCCAGTTGCACCGATCGTTCGATCTCCACGAAGGATTTGGCCACGTTACTCCCGAGACCCACCGAGGTCCTGGGCGCGATCTGGCGCACAGCTGCCGAGCGACGGAGGTCTTTTGAGGGTTACACCAACCAACGGCTATTTCTTTTGGGGTGGGCCGAAAAGTATGACATGAATAGACTAACTAAACTCTGCAGGGTCAACTCTCCGGGGTCTTCCTTTCCTTTTTTTCGGGGGAGCGAGGGCCCAAAACCATTGTTGCTATTTTTTACATGGACTCAGTTTGAAAGTATGCGGTTAAACATCAACTGTTTCCCCAGTCAGGACATGGGACTGGCAGAAGGACCCAGATCAACCATAGATATGCCGCCCCCCCAAATTATGGAGACTCTAAAAGGGCGATGGCCCTTCCAAGCATGTCTGCGATATTCTATATACGATCATCTACAACTACAATCCACTCTTGTTGATTCACTTGCCTACCAAAGTCCAAGGCCCTTCTGTCCGGTTTCCTGGGTTTCCACCCGCCGGGCTCTCCAACCACATCCAACCACTCACAACCACTCAACATGACTCAAACACCGCACCCAGGCGTCTGCCCCTTGCGACGTTCCATATCGTAGCGGAAGGCGTTGCAGTAGCCGTGGAACCACCACATGTGCCAGCGCAGGCGGGCGTCGCCTCCATCGTACTTCCCACACGTAAGTAGTGAATCGGCTAAGCACAAAGCCATGCTCGCATCATCTGTCCATTGACCTGGCGTCGGATGGAAGGAATCCAAACAAAAACCCGGCTAGATATTCGAGACGTCTTGTAACCAGCTGCGCAAACATCTATATAATGTGTTTCCTCCACATGCGGGCCAGCAGGAGCAGGGACACAAAGGCACGACAAATGCAAAAAAAGACGTCACCCACGGTTTGCGGGGCACATGTTGGGAAATGTTCAAAGATCAAAACCTGGGAAGGATATCTTTCACAAGGGCTAGTGAGAATGTCGCAAAAAAAGGACCCCAAAAAGAACATCCCATTCAAAGGCACCTAGCTTCAGTTCAAACTTGTTCCTCACGTTCTTGTAATGCAGCTGTCCTTCTCGGAGCTTTGCGGCCACGCACGGCCGTCGATCGTCCTCAAAGCCTTCCAAAGGGCTGGGATCAACCTTAACTGGCCAAAGCAGCAACCTTCAAACTCTGAGCAGTGGTCTCACAAGTTCGATGGCACTGGCACCCCTATCATGTCTTAGACAAATAGGGGTCGATATAAACCGACCTTGGGGGTCACTGGCGCCCATTGAACCTCTGAAACCATGAGCATCGACTACCAAATTCGCTGCCGGCAAGAAAGAGGCCGAACCATCCGCAAGTCGAGAGAACACCAGGACATCCAAAAAGACTCATGAAACCTCGACATGTCGGTCTCCTCGGCTGAAACCATATGAAACCTTGTCCCTGACCCTATTCGGCGGCCAGACTTGGTAGGGTCCTAAGACTTTGAGGGCGAACTATCACTCACGATATCATTCTCCGGTCTTGAGCCACCTGATAACATCGGCCCCACAGCCAGGTGCCCCAATCGATGCTCGTCCGGGGGTTGGTTCTGCCATGTGGAGGGGGCTTTCCAGGTCCACGTGCCTAATAGCCATACGTCTGAGCGTTTTTGTTGGCCATCCCCTTGATTCATCCTGAGATGAACAGCCTTATGAAGCCCATACCAGGCTTAACATCCCTCAAAGCAAAATCTTTCTTCGCCGCCCAGGCCGCTGCGCAAAACTCCAATGGCGCTCCAACGGCATCGCCCAAGGTCAGCCCCAACAAGCAGCCCACGGCGCTGTCGCAGCCCCGGTCCTCCGCGGCAAAACGCTCCAGAACGGTCCACCAGGCCGCGGTGCCAGCGGTGGCGCTCATGGCATCCTTGGAACTTTTGACATGTTTCACCTGCAAAAGAGATTAATTTAACATGTTTCTATACACAACAATTACCAGGGAAGGAAGGCGCTCGGGGTCTTCTTTCATGTCACTTGAAGCCAGGCGTCCGTGAGGATTGACCATTGGCAAAGCTCATGTCCCAGAGTCTTGTCCGTGCGCGGCACGCACATGGGATGAGCCCTGTCCAGCTTGCTCTGGAGCTGAGCGAGGAGCTCCACACTTTTCTTCTCCATGTCTGGTACAGCATGTGAGCTTCAACAGAAACGGCTTCAAAAAGGAGAGCATTCGCTTTTTCCAATGATTCATGCAGACCCCCAACCCGCCCCCAGTTTTGTTAATCTTTTCATATATTTAGATCAATTCTACTTAAAGAGTGTCTGGAGAAAAAAGGAACCCCCTGTCCACTTGGGGAGGGTCGTTCACATCTTTCCACCTGCGAGGAGCTAAACCCTGCATCCGATGCCGAAGAAGGCCGGCACGGGGGACGAGGAAACCAGTGTTCAGCCGGTCCCGATGGGACGTCGGCTTCTTCACAGGGGTTTTGATGGGGACTCACAGCTCATTTGCACGTGGGGACTCGGGGTCAAGCCTCGTCATTTGAGGTCCCTCACAAATCCAAACCACAAATCCGAGCTGATCCGAGCTGGTTTTTCGACGCATTGGCCGGTCGTTTGCACGTTTCTGTCACCTGCACTGGCCGGGTCCAGTTCTCAGGCCAGCGGCCCATAAGCTAATGTGGCCATTCTGGTTGATGTCCAACTCCTATCAGCTGAAGAGAACATCACGGAAAATCCAAGGTCTGGAGACCACCCAGAGTGTGAGGTTTGGGCCAAGGGATCCCAAGGCTTTTGCTTGAACACGTCGGCTCGTGCTTTGAGTCAAGAGAGCTCGTGCTTTCAGTCCACTCCTCGGATTCAATTGGGTGTTCTTGAATGATTCACCGTGTGAATGCGGCCCCCAAGAAGCCCAACGTGTTCCAGAATGATCAATTCAAGGCCATCAACCTACGTGTTCAAGGCCTCTATCATAGAGGTCCCTTATCTCCACGTAGTAGATGCTATAGTTATCCCCAGGATCCTCCTTGGAATTCAACCTCTACCCTGGGGGTCCCCAGCTATAGTTTGTGTTTTTTCAATTGTTCAGGGGCGCGCGCGCGGGCCCTCTATAAAATGAATTCACCAGGGCTCACTCCACAAGAGCACAGTTATATAATAATAGTATAATAGAATGGTGACCCCCAGGGTAGATTTGACAATGGTTCATTTCTACAGGGCCCTCTAAAAATCGTCTATAGAATGGTTCACCCAGGCAAGTTATCATTTCTGCCAAATTCCTATGGAGCAAAATCAATGGCGTTTAGCTTTTGAAGGGCGCCAAAATGCGCATGCTCTGGGAGGACCCCCCAAAATCCTCTATAAAATGGTTCATCCAAGCAAGGCCAATTGTTTTAAACAAACTAACATGGCCCTGAAAATGGTCCGTGAAAAAAATCATGAGCCAACCAAGTGTATTAAAACAATTTGCCTTTCCTGCACCCCAGGCTCCCCATTCTGTAGAGGAAATTTCGACCGGGATTTGCCGGGATTGCATTCCTAACTTTAAATAGGATCCAAGAACAATCCATCAGCGCAACCTTACGTCGACCACTCACCAATTCACATGGGCTCCGGGGGCTCCAAGCCCATCCGCCCATGCACCGCTGCGGTGTACTTCTCTCCTCCCAAAGCTCTTTGGCGTTCCCCGCGTAGCCCACGTCCTTGATCGCCACGCTGAACTCCTGACACGGCTTGAAGGTGTAGAAGAAGCACCCAAGTAAATATATATCGCTTGAGACCAATGAACAAAAAAGCAAATGACCATGCCTACATTGGGCCAGGGGTGGTGTGGGGGGTCAATGTAGGCATATATTCTATACATGGAGTGCCTGGGTAATATTGCATAATATGACCTAATACAAGTTTCACCCAAAAGTGGCTAGATTCCTGCCACCTACAGTACATCATTTCCAGAGATCAGCTTATCTATCCTCCAAACAGGTTCCGCCCCCTATGTTGTCCAAACAGGTTCCCTTCTCTGATCTCACTTCCAGGACGGGCACCTGGTAGTCCATGCGATCATCATGGTTTCGATCCAAGCCCTCACGCCAGGCACGGACGATGTTACCTCGCAGGCCCGTGCGTGATACCCGTGCGTGTCCATGCTTAGAGATTTCAGGGTCGGACCATGGAATTGAATATCAGTATAAGTATATTAACGACATGTATTCCTACACCAACAGTTTGGCAGCAGCAAGAACAGCTCTGCGGTTTTTCCCTCTTTCGATCTCGTGCAGCCATCCTTAGCTGCAACCTCATCCCAACCAGTTTGGGTGAGTCTCCCGTGCCGAGGCGCCATAAGATCTCAGGAGGCAGTCAAGGAACTTCTCCCTGCGCTCATCCTGAGACCGATCCGTTCACATCGGGTGGGGTGTCCTATCCGTTAACATGCGAAACCATGCGAAACCTATCATGGACCCCGACGTCCTGGCGCCATGGAAGATTGTTTTCCTCTACAAACCAGTGGTTTTCAGGGTACATGTTAGACCATCTTGGGGGTGCAACATCTGCGAAACCTGCAAATACACAATCTCTTGGCAAATCCCCTGGCCCTGATCTCAATATGCTGATCACGAGAACGAGAAAGAGAACAGGGGCTCCTGACAAAAAGTGGATCCATCTGAAGACTGAATAAGACTGATGAGGTGTACGGTCGGGTGAGCTGTTTGTTGGAAAACGCGCAGTCTGCGCAACACTTTCAGCAAGCACCTGCACAACCTAGCACAATGCACAACAAATCGGACAACAAGTTAGCACGACTATAGCTAATAATTATAGCCGAGCATCCCTCTTTTGCACAATGGGTGGCGGTGTCCAGGGTTCGGCTGGCACCGCCCACTTGGAGATGGGCGCGTCGAGAAATCCCCGATCCGGGTGCCCTTTGGGAGACATCCAGCTGTGCAAGAAGCCGAACTCCTGGATCAAAAAGCGCGGCAGCCTTGCCGATCCTCCGTGGAAATTCTACCAAATGAAAAAGGAGCCGAAGGCTGGAGGCCCGTACACCAGAAGCAACATGGCCACAAAAGAGGGAAAACAGGAAGAGCAACCATACATATTCCAAGGATAGAGTCAGATTCGTTGACAGCTGGAATGCACCAACACAAACCTTCTTTTTGGGGTTCGCATTCTTGACTCAGGGATCATAGCCATCACTGGCGAAAGGAAAGGCACCTACTCAGTATTGACCTCTCAAGATTGGAACCCATAGAATCTATATTCATAAGTCACCTCATTCAAGTTTTGCGCAATCTTCTCAGATCAGTCACAACTACAGCTTGTGATGCTTGCGGTTTCAGCTGGTGTGTCACGGGTTCAACTTAATGCACCATTCACCTTCCCCGTGCAATCGCGGGAGGAAGCAAATTCTATCGACATGTCCAGGTCCACATGGCCAAACGTTTGCTTCTCCACTCGCGGCAATGACCACAATCAAAGGGCCGCCAGTCAAAACAAGCTAGCCGAAGAAGAACTCTCGAAACCACTGTTGCAGCTGGAGGTCAACAAATTGCAGGAAACACGATAAAGCTCGCTCTCCCTCTCTCTCTCCCTCCCTCCCCTCATCCTTCCGGCTCATGCCATTGGAGGCTTTCTCACTGCAAAGCTCCCCAAAACAGGCCACCGGGTCCCCCTGGTAGCGCAGCTCTTGACATGCCTCAGCTTGACGGCACCAGTTTTCGGTCCTTCGGTGTGCGTCCGGTGCGTCCGGACTGGCTCTCAGCCCAGTCGTTGAATGAGGGCGAAGTAGAAGGAGAGAATGATGCACATGACGAGTCATGTGACTGTTGGGTTCAACTCTTTGATGACCTCATGCTAGCTGAGCAGGTGCAGTAGGAATGAGCGTTCCACTTGTAGGTGTCGCTCCAACATCCAATTATGAAACTACCCCATCCCTACCTACCCCATAGAAGCCCCCTACTTCACTTCTGAACTCCCATCCTTTCACGCCAAACCAACTTCAAGCCACAGGTTCAACTTCAGTGTTCCATAGTGTTCTACAAGACAAGACACCCCAAAACCGACCAAACCAGACCAAAATAAAGGCTGCCCCAGCCCCAAACACCCCCAAACAAACAACCTCCATCGCTCCATCGTGCCGGTCGCGATCGAGTCGATCGGAGTCGATCGCGCAACGCACCTCGCTGAAGTCCTCGCTGGAGATCCGGAGCTTTGACCTCTTGTTAAAGCAGCTCCTGCCCACCGTGGGAGAGTTCGGAGGCTTTTGACGCCCTTCTCCATCGTGGCTAGCATGCGACATGCTGGACAGGGCCAGATGCCAAGTTGCATAAGTTAAACATCTGAATAGTTTGTCTGATTTGAATTGGTTTGGACTTCTATGAAGCTTGAACACCAACACCCATCCCCAGGGGACCATGAATATCGCACAGAAATGTCATATGCCATGTGTATTCACGAGTGTGGCTCACAAGAAATATCCATCTGAAGTCTCAAGCCAGCCCCAGACCTCTGGACGTTGATCACCCCATCAACCCAACCCAACCACCCACGTTCCGCATGCGCCCGAGCAAGCGATGCCTCCAAGCATTCTCCACGCTTCCGCAGTTGAACCTGGCAAAGACGCCAAACATCCAGCGACGTTTTTTTTCCGGTAAAGCAAACATGGGTTCCGAGACATTTCGAGTAATTATCATGGAAATGATATACCAAAGCACGTGGAAGTAAGATGAAGTAACATGACTTATCCGCAACAAGTGCACTCCCGGCAACGAACGTGGCCATGGAAAATGGCAGGGAGACTGTCTCCCCAAAGCTCCTCATTCATCTAGGTGGCAACATGTCGAAACTTTGGGAAACCCTGGGAACGTTGCAACGGCAAAGCATCTGTCGGCACAGAACCTGCGGGAAGACAATCCCTGCAGTTCACGAGCCAGAAACAACCAAAAAAACAGATATGGTGTAGAAACACTCAAATTATCAGTATTTTGATGTTCTTCCGGCGCTTTGTTGCAGGCCAGGCACCAAATGGCTGTGGCGAGTGTCCCCAACTGCTCGCCCAGGCGAGGATCCACGCATCGCAGCGTCAGTAGACCCGTGCGCCCCAGGGCGCGCCACACGCGGCGCGGGTTCGCCACGCCTCGGGTAGTGTGGGGTCTCCCACCCAGAGCGGTGATGATCCCATAAAAAAGGCATCCATTAGATAGTGGGATATATGAGGCACATTGAGTGGTCACTTTTAGATCAATCATTAAACCAATTTCATACGTGCTCACGGCGCACAATAATAGGTATACCTTATATATTAACCTGTATGCTGCACATACAATTACATACAAAAGTTTACAAAAGCCATAAGCCCAAAGATCCATACCCAAGCCAGCCCGATCGAGCAACAGCCCCCTGATCTGGACCGCCAGGGATTTGAGGATTAGTCCAAGATCCCATCAACTGCTGTCGCTGCATGCAAAGTTACTAGGCAATGAAAAAACAAACCGTGGGGGTACTCCAACCGTGAAATTCCATCCATGGTGCTCGCATAAGGGTCTCACGAAGCTGGACAAACAAAGAAACTCTAATAATACTGCCACTGAGCAACTCATCTGCTTGCAGCCGCGCATGAACTCGAAGTAGCTCAAACGTCCTGGGGGAAAAAGCACGCAGCTCCAGTGATCTTGAGTGATCTTGCAGCTGCCATTGTGTGGCTGTCTTCCCCTATGAGGTCCACCCAACCAAGGGGTGTAGCCCTTTACTCTACAAGTAGCCCTTGGGCTGCATGGCATCAACCCCAAGTTGCACGAGAGGGGTTGAGGTCCTCAAAAAAGGCCTTCGCTTGAGCGAGGCATTCAGTTTGGGAGACCGTGTCCATCGGATCAGGGTACGGAGTGCTTGGTCCCCGATGGCCCCAAAGGCAGAAGAGTCATCTTCCATCTAGGCTTAGTACCGTTGATGGGCACCAGAGCAGATGCCTTTTCATGCTCAAGCATGCATAAGGACAGTGCCGCAGTGCAGTGTCAGGCGATCTGGCTTGAAGTGTTCTGCAGTCATTGGACTTCGAGCAAAAAGACCATCATTGGCCTCCTTCTTCGGCTCGGGCTCGGAGTGTCAAAGTGCAATCAACACTGAAGTTACACAACCCAATTCAGAGTGCTGCACCCTCCAGTGTCGGTGAGTTCCTTCCTTAGGTCAAGCGCAGCCTGTTTTGTGACTTCGCTAGTAACAGTCTTTCACAGTGAGAAGTGAGAGCGATGCCAGGAGCCTAGTAAGCATCCTTGCCCCTCAAAGGGGAGCATTCAAAAGGCCCATCTCGGAGCACACATCTCGGCGACCAAGTGCGATCTTCCCTTCGAGGCATGCAACTGGCCATTTTCGGCACGCGTTTGTTTGACTGCCACTTGGCCTCCACTTGGCCTCAACAAAAACCATCACCGAAATCTGACAGGCCCGGTACGGCGGAACCTGCAAAGCAAACTCAGTTAGCCAACACTTCTTATACTTCTTGGTGAAAGCTTGGCGCTCCGAGCAAAATGTCACCCGCAAACGTTTGGAGGTGGAGTCAGTACTTCCAAAGAAACGGCCATGATTACCGTATTACAGCAAGTTGGGTGCCCCTTACAACCTCATAAATGATTATGGGCTAATTACTCCCCATCGCCGGATCGAGCGGTCAAAGTCCGCCCGGTTACATCATTGTACTTGCCCCCCCCCGCACACACACACACACCACACACCAGCTACAGCCCGCGTGCGCTCGAGCTGGGCGTCCATCGGCATTGAGGTCCATGACCTTCCAAGCCCTGACCACTGAGCCGTGCTGCCGGATGCACTGCTCTCGGAAGCGCTCCCGAACCCCTTCCTGAGAGGGCCGAATGTGGTGGTGAAGTGCAGGAGGTAAACGTGAACAAAAGACTGAACGGTTTGATCCAAAAGCATTTCAATATATATTCCAATGCTTTTAGGTGGCAAGGGCGGATCAATCATTTGTGTTGTGCCATAATGTGCCATATGTTGTCCGAGAATTTACTTGTGTTGAGTTGAATCTGTTGAATCTTTTATTAGGAATGGGGGTGTCAACTGCGGTGACATGATGCAACCGAGATAGGTAACAGGTGCAAACACCTGCTGTGGAGGTTCATGAAGTGTCCTAGTTCACAGTTCCATGTTCTGCACTGATTGAGAAAACTGTGCAAACTGGAAGTACATAGAGACCTGACCTGATCACCAACAAATGGGGGATATATAATTCCCGTCAAGCAACTGGTCATGCACATCAATGTTCAAAGTTCAACTAGTCAGCATGCCCAGCAAACGACCGCACAAGCCCTCACAACAACCGCAAGTACGAAAACATGCCCTGCGGCCAAGCCACAATCTCTTCCAGCGACAACTCCTCTCGCCCCAAGTAGGCTTTCGTGGGCTCCCAGCTTGTGCTGGGCCTGCTGATCACTCAACCCCGCAAGAGTGCCCCGTTGCCGTGGTCAAAAGGGCAAGCCCGGACAAGGTGGACGACGCCAGTTGTGGCCCAGTTCCCTAGGCCCTATACAATCTATTCACCATTGTGCTGTAAGAATTCCATCTTCACGGGGCTTGATCCATTTCTGGAAGACTGCTCAAGGCAGCGGAACAACAAGTACGTACAGTCGTTCACACATAGACGGCACATCCTGCCCGTTCGCTAAACAAAAAAGAGGTATATAACATTATACAACTACATAGTAACTATATTCTCAAACAATTTCCCATGTGTTAAGGAAATAAGTAATTGACACAAATTCGCCCTTTGTTAAGCAATATCTCAAGCAATCTCTTGCGCGACCCTCTGCTCAACCTCCCTCCCTCTGCTCTCACCTCTCTGGCTCGTCATCGTCCATATCCACAGGGGACCACACTTCCAACAGCTGGGATCCGTTCTTTCGCACCATCGCGCTGGGAACCCGTTCTGTGCGGCGGCAGCGACTTTGGCCGCAGCTCGCACCCGTAAAATCCGAACAGAAACCACGAAAAGCTCAGTGGAACACCTGGAACCCCTCAGGTGTAGAGTAGATGCACTTATGAGGTTTTTTGTATAAAGTCTGGGGTGCCCACAGCGGTAGGGGCGGGGTGTGGGCTGGCCCAGGCCCGAGAAAGTTGGGCCACTTGCGTGTTGGATGGAGTGGGGATATGCATGTTCTGGTCTTCTGTTGCGCTTCTGGTCAATGCAACCTTCATCTCCTATCATGCATTTCATGCTCGAGCCAATAGCAAAAATGCATGCAAAAGCTGCCAGAGCAATTCACTCCACCTTTCTTTGAGCATAGCAAAAAGCTTCCGCCCATGCGGCAACTGTTCCAACTTGACGTCAGTGCAACCGGGGGGGCTCTGCATACCAATTCGGCCCAACCGGCAGCCGCAACGATCCAGGATCAGCAACGGGCTGAACACACCCACTACCGGCTACTCGACAGCGCTTCGCTCCAAGTGTTTGGCATCGAACTTAGAGACTTTCTCCCTGACCATGCCTAGCGAAGCGAAGGCTGAAGCCACACTCACCAAGGGACCAAAGAGACTTACGATGCCACGCCAACAATCTTACTGCACAGTATCTCCATTTTCTTATCCACTCGGCCACAAGGTCATCGCAGTGACACCATGATTCTATGTTGTCTTCGGGGTGTGAAATGGCGAAGAGGCTACTGGAGTCATTGCAAGTGGATGGCAATCATGCCCATGAGATCATGAAGCTACTCCTTCCGCCCATGGCGCCGCCCATGGCGCCGCCCGTGGCGCCCTCCAAGGCCCTGGGCCCTTGACTTGGCCGGAATGATTCTGGGGCCCCACCGACTCAGCCAGGAAACCAACTCAGCCAGGAACGACTCAGCTCCGTTACTTGAAGGCTCCTTTGGGGGTGAATGAAGCTTCGCCAATGCAACATGCAGTAAGTAATATATATATATAAAGACATATAAAGATGTTCATCCCAATACAGGGGCCAATACATCCTGCTGAACGCAACATGCCCCCTCAACTGTCATCTTGACGTCGAACTCCTGCCTGCGACCGCCGTCATTAAGGAATTGTTCATGATGCCCAAACGCGCGAACCTGGCTGAGAATGCTGCAAGATACCCTAAGAGAGTGGTTTATGGTAAAACGTTTCACCTAATCAAATCCAATGTTGTATAATAAGGAATTGTATTCATAAAGTATACTGCATACATTGTCAAACTGTTTAAATATATAATATATATAGATATAGATGTAGATATAGATATACACAAAACATTACAAAATAATCAAAGGTTCAGACTGTCCAGGCATGGTTGTGACATACCAATGCATTGACTGCTTCTAAACACCTGCCATCTGCATTGAAATCCGAACATTAAATTGTTCAACCTTTTTTGATCTGTTGAGTGATTTGACACACGCCCAATGTACAGAGTCTAAGCAAATTCCAGCGTCCAACCTGACATTCAAACTGACTCACTCTGCATCTCCGGCCCTCTAAGATCCCAGCGCCCAGGCTGTGTTGGTGAGATGCTGCCTAAGTCGAGCCGAGCGCCGACAGGCTTCGGCGAGCTGAACTGCTAGAGCTGGTGCAACCAAATCCTGAGACATCCTGGTTCCGGATTAGTTACGATTAGTTGGCACATGTTGGCACTCATGTGAGCATGTACTTAACTTCTTATACAATATCATCAAAACACATGTACTTCCTGCATTACATGCATGTCTACAAGATCTCGAAGGGACTCGCTGTTCATCTTGGAAAGGAGATTCGCGGCCTTCCGTTTGGTCTGTTTGGCCGAACTTCGGGACCTCCTCTGTCCATGGCAGGCAGGCCTGCGAACGTAAGGCCTAAGGGCGCCTAAGGGTCCTCTGTGATGTTCAGCAATCATGCCACCCCACTTTCAAACTTCAAGAATTCAATCGACCTAACATGACGTAACAGTAATAAGTGCAAGGTCCAAAGTCCTGGTCAAGTTCAAAAAGATTCGGCCTATGTGTATATATATATATGTATATGATTGTATATATATATATATGATTATATATGTTTATAAACACTGTTCGACCGTTCCACCGACTTATGCGTTCCATGTTCGGAGCAGAGTGGAACTGGCTGCCGCCCTCGTTTTCAAGCTTCGCGATTCTGATCAGCCAAACTCCACCAGACCTCCCACAGCAATCACATCCAAGCTGCAGCTCGAACTCGTGGATGCGCTGGCAGGCAGCTTCAGCGATCACGTCCAAGGTGCGTGTGTGACGACCTGGGGTTAAAAATGGCTGTGTAAATATATATATATATATATGGACGCGTACGTACACACATCAAAAATAAGGGAACAAAAATGTGGGGAAAAAACTGAATCTAGACTAACAATCTAGCAATTCCACTCCCGACAGTCGCTGTGGTGGATCTTGTATTGAACGGCCACCTGCTGTCATACTGGAGATGGGGGATCTGCATCTGACTTGGTGCCGGCGCTTGCCTTGCAACTTGCCGGCACCCAAGTAGACCAGCTTTAAGTCTGTGACTCCGAATCAAACAACTGCGACAGCAGGGCAATAGAGGAACATCCTATTTTCCAGCAGGAATGGGTATATCATGGCATATCCTATTGCATTTTTCCTCTTAGTCTGACTGAAAGCCGTGTGTTCTCGCGGTCGCTCCCACCGTCCGTTCGTCTAGGGCCGCGCACGCGTGGCCAGCGTGGCGAAGGCCCACGCGAGGTTCGAGAGCTCCTGGATCGGAAGTTCTCGGTTCGAGCGCCGGACAGGGCCGGTGCAAGTCGGATTCCAGTGGATTCCAGTGGCTTTAAGAGGAGCGAAGCAGGGCGACCAGCCGGAAGGACCTGACTTCCGGAAGGCGGATTCTTTTGGACCGAAGAAGTGCCGTGGTGGAGGAACATCGGCTCCACTTCCACCTCTCCATCTCTCTTTTTTATGGTGTCTCCGCAGCACTTCGCGCACCAGTTCGAGGCATTTCTGCTCCACTGCGCGGAAAAACGGCAAAAAAACGGTGGTAGCTAACCCAAAGAAGTGCCGTTGTGTGAACAAAACCACACAAACATAACTAGGTTTTGTCGAAACATTATAGGTACTTACTTTGTTCAAGTCTTTTCAGGACGGAGGTACAACTGGAAGTCTCGGATGGGCTTCCGCACCCTACACACCCTCAAGGATCATGGAAAAGAGCCACTGCTGTCGAGCTGCAACCAGGAATCGGCAAGTCGTTGTAGAGGAACCATCTATACTAACAGTATAATAACACGACACAACTACCCTTGCACCTTATATAGATCTTGTGGTGTGACAAATCCCACACAATCCCATCGTCGCCGACTTTTCAGTGATTCTCCGTGGCCTCTCCTGCGTCTTGCAGCTCCCCACGCGCTTCTCCACCGTGGCGCTGATCATCTCCAGCAAGGGCTCGTCCCAATGACCTGGCAAAGTCACACAGCACGAGATATTTGGTCCGATCAAGCGGCAGGTCTCCAAGGGTCTTGAGGTGGGGAGGACAAACCACGAAATACACCAAACATGCACACCGAACATGCCAGAAGGACCCAGAGTGGCAAAGGCCCACGAAATACTGGCCACGCACATGGCGTCAAAGTCGTCCTTCGCACGCACACATTGGATGGCGATGCACCACGCGGAAGCCAAATGGGACTTGAAATCATAAATGCATTGAATTGTCAATTATTGTTATAGAGGCATATCTTGTCACAATAAACAAAGACAGAAAACAAAATAACAACAAACTGCCACAAATGAACAAAGCACACTGCTTAGCCTGTTTAGCAAAAACACGCGCAAGGCTGTTGTTGTTGTTGTTGCTGCTTTTGGCATACACAGCCTTCTCGCATCGCATCAAATGAACCACCCCTTGTATCCTCTTGAGATTCGAGCTATGATCCCAATCCGATGTATTACAAGGGCTGCAGTTCAGCCATCCTCAAAAGCACAGCTTTACCATTCTGTCACCATGCCATACCCTCATACGAACTCAAACGCACGGAAGTGGATGGCATTGTCCCTGAACCGCTTGTCAAAACTACAAGCTCCTCGACAAAAGCATCTTGTGTCTTTCGCTTAGCTGATGGATCACCCACCCCACGACTGCAAACAACCTAAGGCACCCAGCCCTCCCAGCATCACTCATTCGATGGATGGCTTCAGCAGAGACCTGGGGCCGACATCAACGGAAGGTCATGCGTGGGGAGGAGTTTCAACCAATCAACATGTTGGTTTCCCTCAGTGCTGACCACCGCTTAGGCAATTCAGGGCAAGTGACCCCAAAATGGATCGACAAGACTTGTACATGGTAGTGCTTGTTTTCAGGGTTCTCTTGCACTTATACTTATACAAGACCTACCTACCACAAATTCCACTCACAAACCACATACGATGTACACTTACAATAGTTGAAGAGAGGAGCATGGCGATCTCAAAGGCCTACAAACGGTCCACTTCTGAGACCCCACTCGCCCAGGCCGCTCAGGCCGAGCTCTCGCTCTGAGCTTCTCCGACAGCGGCCATGAGGGCCTCCTGCTGAACGTGGAGCTTGGCAAAGGCCCACACCTGGGGCCAAGACCCGCCCTCCCACCGGTGGTGTTTGAACCAAAGTAGCCGAGCGTCCAGTAGCCGGCGCCGGTAACAAATGAAGGACGAGTCAGTTCTTGCTGCGCCGTGACATCCATGGCGCATGTGGTGGCATCGGCCACTGGTGCAATGTCGCCAAGAGCAACCTATCACACATTATCACGCTCACTTGGCAAGTCCTCAACAACTCGGGTTGCAACCATGGAGATGCAAATAGTTCTATATCATGCTGTTGTACACATTCATAGCTTTAGCACGGATTGAGGAAATGGGTTCTATGGCCAGTAGGGCTCAGTAGGGTAATTGTCTCCGTCTCCATTTTTTGGTATATGTCTCCTTTGTGCTACTCAGTTACTCATGCAAACACATTCTTGAGTGATTTGACTTGCTAAAAGAAATCATGTCACCGTCTTCAATATGGGCGTTCTGCATTCCGGGCCTGTGTTGGATGGGAAATACAGTATACACGTTTTCTTCGTCAACACTTGGGGGCCTCCGTTTCAAAACTGCTGCGTCACAACCGTGAGTAACGTTTCGGCCTGAATGGGTTGATTGCTCCGATGTTACAAGACACGGCTGCTCCGCCAATCGCTACGATTGTTGGACGAAATCCACCCGGTGCCATGAGGATGATTCTTAAATGGCAATAAATGACGTCCGTGAATACTGTCTGCTCAGTATTCAGGCCCAGCTATCAGCTCTCACCCAGAGACTCCCGGCGCTGTTGGCAAGCTCTTGAGAGATGAATTCGCTCACACCTCAATTGGAGCAAAAAAAACTCCACTTCACCGCTCTAACTCTAACCTTCCAGTTGCCTCTGCGTTGCACGAAGAATATCTATCCTAAAAATGTATAGCCACGTTGCATCTGCGTTGTGAGATCTTGCTACGCAATACTACAATCGTCAGGAGGTTCCCGATCCCCAAAACATCGCGCCCACATGCTCTCTAGAGAATCCGTATCCCTTCTGCGCGTTTGGCGCCCTCGAACGAATCACATGCCGCACCTTAAAACGGCCCCGGGCATCCCCGCTCTTCACCGCTAAAGCGGCCATGGCTGACAAAGCGGACACGTTGTGGTACCGCAGCGTGGCCCACGCCCAAACGCTGTTGGCCACATTCTGCGGCCCCAAGTGCTCCATTGCTGTAAGGATGGAACCAGTGATCGCGCCTAGGGTCGGCCAGCGTCTTCGGCGTGCCACATCCTGTGGAACTGTGTGAAACAACGAAAGATAGGGTCAACCTCGGTCAAACAGAGTTAGGAAACTTGGAATCCCTGGTCCCGGACGAGCTGGAGGTGCCTAAAAGGCTCTGAAACCCTGCACTTGCAAAGGGCTCGGCTATGCTCAGCTAGGGAATAAGTGCTTGGTTGTTAGATGTCCAGCGGTGCTTTCTTCGAGGCTCCCGGGCCCATTAAGGCCGGCTTCCGGACCTGGCACGGATCCGCGGACCTCAACAAACACATTAAAAAAATCAAGAAAAACAGTGTGACCCATGGTGTTCCTACTCTAAATATATCACACAGACATATATAACACACAGATATATATATATACAGATATACATATATATATATATTTTTATACATATTAATAGCATTGGCAGCCCGCAAAGAACACGGTTCTTTAAGCAACACACAGCGTTGCAGCACGGCGTCGTGTCATGGTCACGAAGTCACCCCTGGAGAGCCGCCAGTTTGCCAGGATCAAGGCTTACGATTTTTAAATGCCAAAAACGTAGAAGCCGAATGGCCGGTGCAAACAAAATAATGAAACGTAGAGGCCGTCGAAAGTGGCACCAGTGGCACTTCTATGCGCTGACAGACAGACTCTGGGAGAACCCTCCAGCGCCAACCAAAGGCGCGGGGGGTACTCAAAGTGGGTCTCGAAGTCCCGAGGTGTGAAGTTTGAGGTGGTGAATCGTCTGTTTTCAGGTGAAATGCCAAAGGTCGGTCACTGAGTCCTGTACAGCTGCTGATTGGTTGATGTCAAATGTAAGGAACTGCAACAGATTGCACCCCTGAAAGAAGCTGGGTCACGGACCCACGGATCATGAACATTTGGATGAATTTGGGATGGCCAAGTACACCAAAAAGCAAAGTCTGAGATGCGCCATACATATGCCCGTGCCTATGATGGGCAATGGATTCTGGCGATTTCCCTGCCGTCCCCCTCTCAAATAATGCAAGGTCCGAATTTCGAAACAAAGCACCTATTGAGGACGCTTTTGCTCAGCATCACCGCCAGTCTTGTCCTGTGACCACTCTGACACGGGGGCGCCCCGTGTTCGGCCTCCAACTTGGCCCAAGACCATGCTGTGATCGCTAGATCCTGCAGATGGGACCCGCTGGGGGCCCAATACGCCCACAAACATCGCAAAATAGACAGCCCAAACTGATGCATCAGATGCCTCAAGCACAGATATACGGTGGTTGGCACATAGCATCTCAATTAAAAAACAGCAAGTCTCTTCCGATCAAACATGAGCATATCAATGGCATACTGCGTCTCATCCTCACCTAACACATAGTCACAGGTTCATCCAATGTTATAATCCACAGGGAAAGAACCGGAACGAGGGAACAGCAAGGTGAAGGGGTCAGCGTACTTGAAATCTTGAACAAAGTTCAGAAGCTAGCTACTGAATACTTAGCACTCTAGTTACTTGATTGCTTAGCGGTTCTTAATTACGTGCAATAGTTAGGGAGGAGGACTTTAGTCTTAAACCGCCCGGGTAAATTAGACTAGAACAGGAACAACAGAAGGAAAAGCACCGACACACAATTGTGTCGAGTACCATTTCCTTCTGTTGCCTTAGATCAGCAGGTGCCTTTGCAGCCCTCACCGGTGGCCCGTTCGGTGGCCATCCACCAATGGTGAGAGGGATGGGCCCCTGCAGATTTGCATTTTAAAAATTAAACTCCTGGACACGGAGGACACGGAGTGCGACACACTTGGATGGTTGCTCGCAAGAGCTAGGATCAGTATGAAGTCCCACTTTAGACGATTACATAACCCGGTGCATTGTAGACCTTGACTTGAGTCAACTGCAAGAAGTGCTGGGTCAGAAGAACTGAATGTTTGAACGTGGGTGAGACTTGACAAGGTAGTTAAACTTGTTGCAGGTACATCCAGCTGGCCAAGCTGGATATCCCAGCAGATTGCATAGCTTTGTTAGACATGGTCTGCAATCTGGTGCCGTGTACCCCTGCCTCTTGTTGCTCGCGCGGTTTTTGATTTTGGCTTGGTTCCTAGTAGCAAGGCCACGAGCCACTAGTAGCATCCAGCCTTTTAGTGAGATTTACGGCGTGCAAACTTACTAGGCACAAACCTTGGAACAGGTGTTAACACACACTTAGGATAGGGTGTACTGAACTGAAAGCGGTGCCACACGCCGGCCTAGGGTTCCATTTCCTAAGAGAACCAGTAAGGACCATCGAATCCTGGAGGTCTTACAAGGAAAGGAGGCCAAAAGCGTAAGGTCGAAGACGACGAACAGGGCGAAATGACGACGATCGCTCAAGTCTGCAGCAAGTGAGGTTCTGGGCTTAGCCTCGTGCCATTCCTTTTGAAAAAGGCAGGTACGTAGTTCTGGCGTCCCAGAACTATATCACTGTGCGACAGATTCCAGCCCCCTGCTGCACAAGGAAAACAACTGTGAAGCTAAAACAATCCGAAAGGATCCCTATGATTCCAAGGGTTACACACTCACGCCTCCCCGAGGGGAGGCAAGATTTTTAAGCTCCGCGCCATAGGTGGTGTGAGACTCTTCGTCCCCAAGTAGTGGTAAGGCCAGGAACCTCTAGTAGCGTCAAAGAAACACCTAACACCTAATAGGAAGGCCAGGAGCCCCTAGCAGCATCCCAAGCTAAGGTGCCGACAAGAGGGAGGGGTAGGGAGAGACGAGAAAAAGGAGAGAAAAGAAAGGAAGGTGTTCCCAGCTACGACGCATGCGTCCAAGGACACACCAAAGGAAGAGAGGAGAAGGTTCCCAGCTATGACAAAAGCATCCAGGGACTGGTATCGTGCATAACAGTCGATCAAGGGGTTGCAGAACGAAGTCCCAGTCGAAGCATTCAGGGTGGGTCCCCCAGGATCTGGGTCTATGCACATGCTGCGCCCCTCGACGGGGATCACACCACAGCCCTCAGTGGGACTCTGTGGCGATACACACTTGGATGGTTGCTCGCAAGAGCTAGGATCAGTATGAAGTCCCACTTTAGACGATTACATAACCCGGTGCATTGTAGACCTTGACTTGAGTCAACTGCAAGAAGTGCTGGGTCAGAAGAACTGAATGTTTGAACATGGGTGAGACTTGACAAGGTAGTTAAAATTGTTGCAGGTACGTCCAGCTGGCCAAGCTGGATATCCCACCAGATTGCATAGCTTTGTTAGACATGGTCTGCAATCTGGCGCCGTGTACCCCTGCCTCCTTTTGCTCGCGTTGTTTTTGATTTTGGTTTGGTTCCTAGTAGCAAGGCCACGAGCTACTAGTAGCATCCAGCCTTTTAGTGAGATTTACGGCAGGCAAACTTACTAGGCACAAACCTTGGAAACAGGTGTTAACACACACACACAAGGTGCCGCAGTGTGGCGCTCGCTCCTGAATAGTCACCTAACAAGCCTTAGTAAAAGAAAAAAGAAAACAAAAAAGAAAACTGCAAGACAGAAATTAGGTGTAGGAGCATGCATGTATGCAATAACGGAATCAAAACCTGAATAGCCACCTAACAAGCCTTAGCAAGGAAAGAGAGAAAGACAGAAAGAGCAAGACGAAAAGGGGAAGAAAGATAGGTGTAAGGCCATGCATGTCTGCCGAACGAACGGCAAATTACGGAGTCAAAACCTGAATAGGCACCTAACAAGCCTTAGAAAGGAAAGAAAAACAGAAAGAGAAAAAGAAGAGGGCAAGAGAGGAAGGTAGGTGTAGTTGAAAAGGTAAAGCTAGTTACTGCCTACTTAGCGGTCTTGAACTACATGCAATAGTTAGGGAGCGGGACTTTATATAGTCTCAAACCGCCCGGACTATAGAAAAGGGGCAACAGAAGGAAAGGCACCGACACACAAGTGTGTCGAGTGCCATTTCCTTCAGTTACCCTAATTAGAACTAGAAGTAAGGCGAAAACGAGGGGTAGGGAAACGAGCCTCAAGAACAACCTAACAAGCCTGAAGAAACACCTAACAAACGAAGAAACCGCAAGAAGGAAAGAGGGGAGGGGCTGGGGGTGGTTCATTCTCCGTACGCCCGGCGGCATTTAGTCCGTGAGCCCGGCGGCATATTGTTCATTGGGTGAAACACAATTCAGTTAAACCATAGTCCCAGAACTCAAAGACGCTAAATCGATATGTCATTCACAAAGGCTTCAGAGCCCCTCTTGCGAGAGGATCACACTGTGCACCCAAGTGGAAAACACAGCGATACACACTTAGTCACAGGTCCAGTGGCCTTCGGTTTCCATCCACCACTGGTGAGAGGGATGGCCCCTGCAGATTGTATTTTAAAAATTAAGCTCCTGGACACGGAGTGCGACACACACACTTCGAACTTGGATTTTCAGTTAACGCAATTGTCTCAATGGG